GCCGTCGAGTCTTCTCTGCGTCCCCGGCTGGGGGCGCGAGGTCGCGCGATCCAGGCCGATGCCTGTCTCGGCGGATGCGCTCGCTGCCTGCTACAGCAGGCGAGGGGTTGGATTAGTCGGGCTCCTTGCGGGGCCCGATGCGGTGTCGAGTCCAGTGGTTTGCCCCGCCATGGGCCGCGCTCTAGCCGGGCAAGCCCGGCGAGCAGCAAGCTGTTGGTGGGGCATGGTCGTGTCTACTGGGGGCGCCGCTAGGGGCCGCGCTCGAGCCGGGGGGAGCCCGGCGAGCGGCGGGTTGGTAGCGGCGCGCAGTCGTGTCCGGTGGGGGCGGAGACTACCGGGGGGGGGGCGGGCGGGCGGGAGTCTCACGCGGTGTCCGATGGGGGGGGGGGCGCGACCAGGTCTCTTGGGAGGCCGAAGCCGTCGGGGGGGCGCCGGTGGTAGGGCGCCAGCTCCCGGAGGTGGTCGTGCCGCGACCGATCGGAGCGCTCGAAGAGTGTGGTGTTCAGGCGCTGCACGAATGCGTCGACGCTCTCTACGCCGAGGTCTCAGGCGATTGTCGCGTTCCGTACGAAGCGCGGGGCCTGTACGATGGTGCGCAGCGACAGTGACTGCTGCGCACGGAGGCGTTTCTTGTTAATTTCGGACACGAGCGCGTACCATGCCGGGGCGGCGTAGGTGAGCCGTGTCCGAATGTAGGCCTTGTAGATGCCGAGCTTCGCACGGAGAGGTAGCGCCGAGTCGATCACCGGGCGCAAGAGATAACGCGCGGTGCGCGCCTGAGCAACAGCCTGCTGCACGTGGGGTGTGCAGGACGACGAGAATTAAAGATACTAAGCCCTAGACAATAAGCGGCAATTTGCTCTAGATAATAAGTAGATATTTACCTTAGATAATAAGTAGTCATAAAATAGTAAAAATTGTTAATAACACGTGAATACTCGCACGAGAATTAAGAAATTCGTTGTTCACTTAAGTAAAATCCATTAAAAACGTATCGACGGGCTGTACTTCCGATCGACGCCGTCTTCCTACACCATTTATAACCGTAATTTATTAAATTAGTAATAAAATGGTGTAGGAGACGAGCAAAATAAATAAAATATCATTAAAAGAGGCCCCGGAAAAAGCAGTTTTGTTCTGTCCAGAAGAGGTCTCCCCGCCCGAGAAATAGAGTGAGACGGAGAGAACTTCTCCTTCGCTCGGGCTGGGATTGGACAGAGCAGAAAGTGCGACCGGTGTACCGTCACCGTACGTACGTCGCACAGTCCGGGGCAACTATTGTAACAGTTTTACAGCCCGTCGAGACAGTTCGTCAATCATCGGTCACATAAATTTGTGCGAGTGTTCGTAAAATAGTGAAAGGAAATAACATTGTGCAAACTCTGTAGAAATAGGTGTATGATAACTCGTAAAACTTTCCAGACATTTGTATAGTAATTTAGTATTGATTATCGTACCTTTTCTAATATGTGACTGTGTAATAAATAAGTGTTTGTATATAAAGTGTTGCCTTTTATTCCACAATCTTATCACCTATGACCGGCGCACGAGGTGTGCATAGTATAGACGCACATCTTAATGGTCCTTCGAGCCGGATATCGTAATTGTGGAATAAAAAAGGGCTTTGTAAATATATAGACTCAGTGTAGTGAAGTGTAACTGTGAAACATGCCTGTGACACGATCTGAAGGTAAAGCCAAGAAGGCGATACCAAAGGCGGTGAGCGAGGACACTCCGACCGCGTCGGCGACCAGTGCGGATACGGAGTCCTCCGCCGTCACGTCGGAAACGTCGCGAACGGGTATGTCATCCACGACTGGCATGACGGCTACCTCTGCCACGTCGGGGACTACCACGACGCAGACCTCCGCGGCCGAAACCTCGGACACCTCGGGCGCCACACCCGGTTCGAGTGCCGAGAAACCGTCAGCGCCGCCATCATCGACGACGACGCTGAAAGCGGGTGCGCGATCGTCAGTGCTGATGCCGCCCCCCGACGAAGCACGCCGGCACGAAGAAACGTCGTACTCAAAACAGTCCGGTAAGTGCAAATCTAGTAGTGCTCGCCCTCCGCCCTCTAGCAAGAGAGGGACAGAGAAATCGAATAAAAGTAAGAGAATCCTTAAAGCGAAGGAAGACTTACTCAAGCTCCAGGTAGAGCTTGCCGCAGCACGCCTTGCTTCGATGCAGGCAGCTGATAGTGAGGATGAGGAGGACGCCGCCTCCCTATATACTCAATCAACCGTGAACAATCGCGTGGACGATTGGCTGCAAAATAGCGAGACAGCACGCCCCGTGTTGGCCTTAACCAATGAGCCTCACCAACCCCCGGCACAGCCAGTCGCTCCCATCGTAATGCCCACCTCGGCGGAGGAACCGACCCCGTCAAGAGGGGGAGATAACCATAGGGTACCGGCGGGAGGATCAACCGACCTCTCCGTCTTAGCGGAAGCCATTACCAAGGCAATCAGTGCCGCTCAGAGGCCGCGGTATATAGAACTACCGACCTTTAGTGGGTCGCATAGCGAGTGGCTTCCCTTTAGAGCCGCCTACCTAGAGACTGAAAAACTCTTCAGCCACGTGGAAAATACCAATAGGTTAAGAAAGAACCTAAAGGGAAAGGCTAGGGAGGCGGTGGACGGACTATTGATTACGAACACTAGTCCCTCCGAGATTATTCGTTCACTCGAATTAAGATTCGGTAGACCCGAGTCAATAGCGATGACTGAGATCGACAACCTCAGAAACCTCTCGCGCCTTACGGAGTCGCCGCGAGACATTTGCATCTTCGCAACGAAGATATCGAACACGGTAGCAACACTGAAAACTCTGGGTTGTCACAACTACATGCACAACCCAGAGATATCGAAGATACTGATCGAAAAGTTTACACCGACTTTGAAGTATCGGTATTATGATTACTCCACGTTGCAACCGGTGGAAGACCCGTGTCTACTCAAGATAGAACGGTTCCTCAGAAGAGAAGCTGAACTGTGTGGCCCGTTCGCGTTGCCAGAACAGGTCACGCCCGTCCCCACAAATGCCCCTTATAAGAAATTACACAAAGTAAATAATGTGCAAGAAAGGACACATTCACTCAAGTGCTTAGTGTGTGAAGACCCGGGCCATTCTCGGGCCACAGAGTGTAGTAAATTCAAGAACATGAGTGAGGGAGCCAGGTGGGAGGCCGCCAAGGTCAAACATCTCTGCTTCAGGTGCTTGAAACATCGAAACCGAACCCACTCTTGTAAGACAACGGCATGCGGAGTGAATGGGTGCAAGAATACACACCACCGCATGCTACACTACACTAAGAAGGAGACGGAGCCGCAAACCGAAGGCACGGAAGTGATCAACTCCGCCTGGACCTCAAGGGCTCAATCATTCTTGAAAGTAATCCCGGTAGAGATCAGCGGGCCCAAGGGGACACGACTAACTTACGCACTGATGGACGACGGGTCAACCGTCACATTAATCGATGACATGTTAGTGAAAGCCATCGGTGCGACGGGACCGGTCGACCCACTTCGTCTACAAACGATAAATGAGGCCGGCCCCGCCGAACGTTCCTCACGAAGGGTCACAGTACGCCTGAAGGGAGTGAACGGTACATTTAAACGCATCACCGCCAGGACGATAAAAAACTTGCGCGTATCAGCTCAAACAGTGCCGCCGGAGCTAGTGGAGGGCTGCCCACACCTGAAGGATATCCTTCCACAGCTCACATATAGAGACGCGCGACCGCATATTTTAATCGGCCAGGACAACTGGCATCTCCTCACAAGCACAGAGATGCGCAGGGGAGATTCGAATAGTCCAGTAGCATCACTTACGCCGCTGGGCTGGGTCCTTCATGGGAGACATTCCCGCTCGATTGGGAAACATATAGACTTCGTATCGCACACGATGGAACAACCCATGGAGGACCTGAACGCTGCCATGAAGAACTACTTCGAACTGGATGCGCTCTGCATAGTACCAAAACGTCCTCACAACGATCCAGAGGAACAAGCACTGCGGATCCTGAGAAAAAACACCGTTAGAATTGATGGCAGGTTTCAAACGAGCCTTTTGTGGAAAAGCGACGACATAAGGCTTCCCAATAACTACGAAAACTCATTGAGAAGGCTCGAAAACATAGAGAAAAAGCTGGATAAGGATCCAGCTCTCAAGAAGAAATACACAGACCAGATGGAGTCGCTGGTAAGCAAGGGATATGCGGAGCTCGCGCCCCAAGCCACGACTCTCCACAGAACGTGGTACCTGCCGCACTTCGGGGTGACCAACCCCATGAAGCCCGATAAGCTCAGGGTAGTCCACGACGCCGCCGCCAAAACCAAAGGAGTTTCTCTGAACGAAGTACTCCTTAAGGGGCCCGACCTGCTGCAATCGTTGCCCGGAGTCGTTATGAGATTCCGGCAGCATCAGATCGCGGTGACTGCTGACATAGCGGAAATGTTTATGCAGGTCAAATTGAGGCCAGAAGACCGTGATGCTCTCAGGTACCTCTGGCGCGGTGAGCAGAGGAACATACAGCCGAGGGAGTATCGAATGACATCCCTAATCTTCGGAGCTTCGAGCTCGCCCGCCTCCGCCATATTCGTCAAAAACCTTAACGCGGAACAACATAGGTCCACCCATCCCGAGGCCGCCGAGGCGATAGTCCACAAACATTACGTCGACGACTACCTAGATAGCTTTCGAAATATAGAGGACGCGGTGCGTATCGCCAAGGATGTCAGGGAGGTACATCGACGGGGTGGGTTTGAACTTAAGCAATGGAGGTCGAATTCATCCAGTCTCCTGCGACAACTGGGCGAGAACGTAGAGCACGAGGATACTGAGATATATAGTGACGTCGACAGTACAGAGAGAGTTCTGGGAGTCATCTGGCGAATGCACTCCGATACACTCGCCTTTAATCTCAACTTCGCTAAAATCCCGCAGGGACTCATCGAAGGCCATAACCCTACCAAGAGAGAAGCTTTAAAGATCGTGATGTCGCTGTTCGATCCGCTCGGTCTCGCCTCACCCGTCACCATCCGTGCCAAGCAACTGCTACAAGAAGTCTGGCGACGAGGGACCGGATGGGACGACAATATAGACGAGGACTTAGCCGAAAAATGGGTTATCTGGTTGAAACACCTCGACGACCTGAAGAACATTACGATCCCTAGATCCTACCTAGGATATAGTGACGCCGCCTTGCTGGAGCTGCACGTCTTCAGCGATGCCAGCGAATCTGCGTATGCAGCTGTCCTTTACTGGAGGACGACATCGAGTGAGGGAGAAATCCAGACATCCCTCATAGTCGCCAAAGCTAAAGTAACACCGTTAAAGCTCACGTCAATCCCTAGACTGGAACTACAAGCAGCAGTGATGGGAGTACGGCTCGCCGAAGCTGTCGTCCGGGAACATCAAGTCAAGCCAACGAGGACGGTGTTCTGGACCGACAGCAAAACGGTACTTTCGTGGATTCGATCAGGGTCCAGATCATATAAACCTTATGTAGCCCACAGAATAGCCGCAATCGAAGAAGGATCTACGGTGAACGACTGGCGCTGGGTACCGACTAAGCTGAACGTGGCGGACGACGCCACGAGAGACGTCCCGACTGACTTCAATCGGGATGCCAGGTGGTACGCAGGACCCGACTTCCTGCGCCATCCCGAAGTCACCTGGCCGGTCGAAGAAAAAACCCCAGTGAACCCTACCGGCGAGGAAAAGACACTCCACGTAAGTACCGAACCGCTAGTAAACGGACTAACCAGGGCACTCCCCGACCCCGCTAGATTCTCCAACTGGAACAGACTCCGGTACACCGCTGCGCGAGTACTACTCTTCATAGACCTGCTTCGAAACCACAAGCAGTACGTACATTACAGGCGAACGAAGAAGAATAAAGAATCAGACCCCAGTTGGAGACGACCACGCCAACCTAAAAGCCTACCTAAGGGTACGTCCCAAAGCGTCCCTAAACCAAAGGTCATAGGTGCAAGACCAGTGACCGCCGAATTCCTGCGACGAGCAGAAGAGCTTCTTATGCGAGCGTCGCAACAAGAAGCATTCCCGCAGGAGTTACAAGATCTCAGTCGGGAAGGGCGAGTGGACAAAAACAGCAGGATCAGTTCACTCAGCATCGCACTGGTCAATGGAACCCTGCGACTGGACGGCCGCATTAACGCAGCAAAGGATATTGGACCGGAAAGAAAAAACCCAATGATCCTGGACGGGGATCACCCTGTCGTCCGTCTGTGGGTGGAGCATACACATCGTCAGCTCCACCACGCAGGCGTGGAAGCCACCGTGAACGAGTGCCGACAGCAGTACTGGGTCCTGAGGTTGAGGCCCACCACCCGCACCATAATCAGGAGGTGCCTCTTCTGTCGCCTCCGCACACAACGGCCTGCACTACCGAAGACGGGCGACTTACCAACCTGTCGCTTGGCCCACCACCAGCGACCTTTCACCTACACAGGGGTGGATTACTTCGGCCCACTCTCCGTGACCGTCGGAAGAGGTCACCAGAAAAGGTACGTTGCCATATTTACGTGTCTCACCACCAGAGCCGTCCACCTCGAAGTCGCCGGCTCGCTGAGCGCCGATTCCGCGGTGATGGCGATCCGCAGGATGATGGCGCGGCGAGGCTGCCCCACCGAAATCTGGTCCGATAACGGGACCAATCTGAAGGCGGCCGACAAGGAGCTGCGTCAGGCCATCGACGCAGCGACAGCCGAAGAAACCGCCAAACGAACCATCGCCTGGCGGTACATACCGCCTGGGGCTCCGTTCATGGGCGGCGCCTGGGAACGGATGGTCCGCTCCGTGAAGACAGCCCTCACTGCGACGCTACATGAGCGTCACCCGTCGGAGGAAGTCCTCACCACTCTGCTTACAGAGGCAGAATTCACCGTAAACAGCCGCCCGCTGACTCATGTCTCAGTCAGCTCCGAGGACCCAGAGGCCCTCACTCCCAACCACTTCCTGTTGGGAGGCCCTGCACGCGTGCCACAGCTGGGCACGCTCACCGAAGGCGACGCCGGCGCCGCCTCACGCGCCAGCTGGCGTGCCGCACAGCGTCTCGCAGACGTGTTCTGGCAGCGTTGGGTGAGGGAATACCTCCCCGAGCTCCAGCACCGGCGGGAGCCCCACGGCCGGGGCGAACCCGTCCAACTCGGCGACCTAGTGCAGGTGGTCGACCCGAACCTGCCCCGCAACGTCTGGGTACGCGGGCGAGTAGTCGCTACGTACCCGGGCCCCGACAACATCGTGAGAACGGTGGACCTGCGCACCAAGGGAGGTGTGCTCCGCCGCCCGGTCCGAAA